TGTGGAATTGTTGTCCCCTTGACATGACTGTATCTGTGGTTGTGTCTCTCTGGGAAATGGATAGCAAAAAGCAATGGAATGCCTTGAAACACAGGGAGAAAGGTGCAGCACTCTGAATTTCGGAAGCGAAGCAGTGAGGCTCTAGGACTTGTACAGTCCTGGCTGTAAGGTCCCCAAGTTAGGCAGGGATATTTGGGGTTAAGTGCACCACTTGCCTCTAAACAGCAACGTTTCTAAATGTCTCTTACTGTCATCTGATACTTGTTGAATGAGAGCAATGTGCTTGCAACATCAGGTGGTTTCAGGCTAACCCTTTCCAGGGATGAGCTTATCTGTGCTTGGAAGACCTAGCCGAACCACCTCTTCCACTTTCTGCATGGACTACTGCTTAGATAGCAAAGCTATCAGGTTATGCTGTACACCTGCTAAGGCAGGATAGGTGAAAACTAACATTCAGTTTGTAGAAGCTGCAGTATTGACTAGCTGCACTTAACTCAGCAGGACTGCATGATCTTCACTTGACAATAAGCCAATACCTACAGAATTTTAGACCCTTTTTTAGCCTTCAGGGGTTGAATCCTGGATGCTTTCTCTGGTGTGTGCTAATCCACTGGGGGGAGGCTGCCATCCAGAAGACTGAATACCAAGCTCCTGAGGTTTTCCTTTATGTGGATCCAAGCTGCCCTGTAAATCCAGAGTCTTGGAAAATCTCCTGGGAGGATGAAGGAGGGAGAAGATGACATCAGCTGGAAACTTCCCAACTCATCTTGCATCTCACATGCAGACTTCAAGTTTATAAAATTCAGCTGAATTTTAAACTTGGATGAAGTGAACTCCTTGATAGATTTAGTATCTGTTTCTGGGCAGGCTAACTAGTCAAGGTGTTTGGACTGCGTAATACAACAAAAGAATGTGAAGCTGCTTCCTTACCAGATAGCAGCCTGCATAGTTGGCAGGGCTCACGCATTTCCAACACAGGCAGTTAGTTCCTACTTGTCCTGCACTGTAGGAAACCAAACATGTGGTGCTAGAGTCATCTAATCTCATGTACCCCTAAACTTGGGTGTCTTGAGGAGTCCTACAAACTCCATAGGAATGCATGAAGAGTCTGCGTGTAGGTGTCTGTACAACTGTGCACAAAAGACTGTAGTTAACCAGTAGATCATGAACCTGAAGGTCTGAATGTTGTACTGTTTCTTCTATAGGTTGTGATCTAGGCCTAGCTAGACCTTCACCTGACCTGCTTCAGCAGGTGACAAAGCTATGAGACAGGCCTGAGGAGGTGAGGGACAGAGGCTAAGGATCTTTGCTCTTTACTTTAGAAAAAGCTTTGAAACTTGAGGAAGTCTTCGTGGATACTCTCTAAGACTTGAAAAATGCCTTGACAGAACCTGCCCTCCGTTCCATCTGCGTGGCTGCTGGAAGCAGCCTCCCCTCCTCCCCGCTGTGGGACTGCTCAGCTTCGTGGCAGGCTGACTGTACTGTGAGTAACAGGTGCTGTGACAAAAAGGCTTTTTTTTCTGTGAAGAGCTTTGTGAGAAGTAGGTACCTGCTGGGACTTGGACTGTGCTCATCTCTGATAATGCAGGTAGGTACTTAAAACAGTGGATGAGCAGCTACTTGGTGCACTAAAGGTGAAGCTGATGCGTGAGTCCCTGGCACTGAAGTCACTCTTGTATTAATTGTTTTATATAACATAGTCAGTATTTCAAATGTTTGTGGGTATGATAACTACACCGACAGGTAGAAATGCAGAGGGCTGTAGATCTCCTTTCCTGCTAGGCTCTGTGGGACATACTCCTCTTTCTGTGGTAAAAGCAGACTAGGACAGATGATGCAGTCTTGCTTCCCCAACTGCAAAAAAATCCTCCCAAGTCCCATGGAAGAAAGCCAGTGCCAATTAACATGTCGAGGAGGTGCTCTGCTGAAAGGATTACAGCCTGAGACAACTTAGATTGCTAGGCCATCTGCTGTGATACTTCAAAGCCTACCTCTTTCTAGCAATAGCATAAGACTTCAGCAAACTGATCCTGCCTACT